GTCTGGCCAAAATATATTCCATGAGAGTGAGCCAACTAAGCACAAATCATAAAACTAAATTCATAAAACCTACAACCGTGATTATTTAAATTATAACTTACACTTATACCTCGATTTGAATAGATCTCCACCTTGAATCCAAACAGACGCATCCTTCACACGCACCACAATCCCTCATAAATGAGGGCAATCTGTGTCCTACAGGTTTGAAAAGGTAAAACAAAACATGCATCACACTTTGATGATGACAAATCGACTTAAAAGTACAACTATACATCAGTACATTAATTTTTGCTGTTTCAGATGAGCAAACATCTTAAAGGATTTTATTTGGTAGCTGATGAATGTAGTAGAACGAAAGGAAGTCCAGGATTTTATTAAACATCCAATGTGTTTACCAATATTCTGATCTGCTTTACCTGCTCCGTTGAACATTTTAACTCTTTTTCCCATCGTATTTTCTTCTAGCATTTACAGCTCATATATACCACACGCTTTCTTACTAAAAAACAATGAAACACCTTCGCAAACAAACGTCATGTACAAGATGCTATTAAGTGTTCCATATGACATCCATAACTGAACCACACAAATTTGCAAAGCAGGCCAGAATTTCGTAATGGCAGTTCGTTCATGAAATTTCTAAACAAAAATGTCCAAAAATTCCAATCGGAAATATTCGCAATTTACAAGAGAATAATATTTACATGATTTTTGACGCGTTTACTTAATAAATATATGAGGCGAACCAGACGGTTTCAAGAGTAGTAGAATATCAATTCGCAATTATGTAACAACTAGGCTTTATACATTTTGATTATATTTGTCGATAATTTGTACCACTGCTTCAGAGCCAGATGGACTAACAATTCAATATAAATCCTGCCAGAAATACTGTCTATTCTTGCACATATGAATTTTAGACGCATTGATTCGTTAGTTCAATTTCCATTTTCATTGGGTATTCACTAGATGGAAATGTCAATCATTAAAATTGCACTTAAAATTAAGACGATTTACCTGTAGCACCTGT